CAATGAAGTAAAATCTGTTCATTAATATTGATATGGTAAGAGAAAAATTACACTCAGGTTTAAAATGTAAATATATATATACTTAATACAGATGATTAAATACATATAATTTAGTTATATTATTCTTGGTAGAGTTTTATAAGAGTAAGTGCTTGTTGAAAAATGAAAAGGGTTCTTAGATATAAAGGCATTGCACTCAACATATCATAAACATATAAATTTTAGAGTAACATTAAAATTTTGAAATATCATTTGAAATAAACCTTCAGATTCTCACCATTTCTGCTAAGACTTATAGTCTAAGATATATTTTTAACTGCTGTGCACATCCAGAATTTTTGTTTTCTTACGTTATAACTGATCTTTTATATATACTGCTTGAAACTCTTTCTTCATTCAGAAACTAAAGGTGTCACCCCCAATAAAACCCAAGGTTCACATATATGTGCACTTTCTAAAAATTACAAGTGAAAGTCATATTCAGTTATACTTTACATTATAGGTGAAGTCAAACAGGCTGCTGACAAGATAGAAATTAAAGGATAAAAAGATTTCATCTTTTGTTTGATCTTCACTGACTGATAAATCTATTTCATCTCTTAGATGATAATTTAATGGAGAAAAAGAAACAAAACTTGCTGCTTCTTCATAATCTCTCAGACCCTCTAAATATTTTCTTTAAAGTTTCATTCAACTGAAATATATTTAAGTCTAAAATCAATAGCTACACTTTTATACTGTTGGAAGAAAACTGCCTAAGACAGCTATAACAGAATAAAGTCCTGAAAAGATAGACATAATGAAAAACTTGGATAAAAATTACTATAATAAAAAGGACAAACACTCAGTGATTGCCAGACTGCAAAAATGAAGTTTGGGTTAAATAGAGACACACACTTTAATTGATACTTTAAAATAACCTATTTGTGATACTGTAGCTTTTAAAATAAGAATTTAAAAGTTAATGATTAGAGAATTTCCAAAATTCATCAGTACACTACCACAGTCACTTCAGGAGACTTAATGATATCTGTCTACCTACCTTACATGATTCTGTCAAATAAACTTAACTGACCGAGTTTACTTATTGCATTAAATAGGAGAGTATTGAGCATTTTTAAAAGTTCCAAAATATAATTTATGTATCTATAAGTCCACGTTATACCAGAATTATATTATTTGTATCAATATTTCATCGAGAATAAATTTATACAAAAACCTATAAACACCTGGTTTTGTTTGAAAATGTATATATCACATAAGCACTAACTATACATACTCACCTCTACCTATTTTACTAAATCAACATTGCTGTTATTAGCTGCCTTTTAAATTATCAATTAGTTGCCATGCTTGAGGAATCTAACATGCCTAATAAAGATAAAAATTTATTAAATGCCCTATTCTCATATTTTTAAACATTTAGACATGGAATAAATATTTCAACAGTTTACATGGAAATATTTTTGGTTTTGCAATGTGTGAATGGGTAAAGGTATGTGATAAATTTTAAAACCCATAATCAATTTGTGTGGCAACAGACAAGATAAAATCAGTTCCTTCAGAAAAGTAATTATATTACAACAGATGAATTCTGAGCCTTATTTAATATTATGGGAATGTAAAGGAAATAGTTTTTAGAATTCACAATTAAGTACTTTTCTAGAGATGTTATCTGATAATTTATAAAATAATCACCTATATCATATAAACCTGTACACTCAATCTAAAGCAGGTATAGTTCAAATGATTACTGGTACTACATTTTCCAAAAGCATCCTATTTGTCCCTAGGTTTCCTGAGATGCTTGATACATTGTTAGAAGTTTTAAAGTACTAAATAATAAAAATAAAATAACTGAGTTCTTCCAGAGTAGTTAAGCAGAGTTCTAAGACACAGTGAAACCTATAGCAAAATGCAATGAAAGGTGCAGAGACTGGAGATGGTCAGCCTAGATTTGACAAAAGGTTCTCTACTGAAACAGCCCACCAAAGACCTGAAGTTTCTTAAGCCTTTGCTGCTTTGCCTGTAAAATGGACAGCCTGGTTTTTTTTTGTTGTTGTTGTTAACTGTAAAGCTACACTGTCAGATGCATGACTGCCTGTAAAGTTTATAAATTTATGTAGGAAGGCAGATTATCTCTCTACATGATCATTGTTACAATAATTACCAATGTACAGGCACAAAATAGTAGTCTTTGAAGATTTTTTCCTTTCTATCTGCATGTATGATTAATGTGTTCAGGTCACAGCAGTTAAAAAATTCATGTGAGTCTAGGAAAGAAGGACTAGCAATTCACCAGAATTACTAGAAAGTTTTATCAACTTTTCTTCTTCAATTTCAGTTACAGTAAATTATTTCAAGAAATATGTATATTGGCCTAGCTTAACTTTGTATAGCACAAACTCAGTTACATTCGAACTACTGAAAAGTATTCAAACTGATAATGTTGATTCACTTTTAAATACAAGTTTATGTAGTCTTTCAAATTATCACAGAGTAATTAGCCTTTAATATGACAGGAGGAATTGTTTTCCATGCTGCTCTGAATCACCCCCAAAATGTAACTATACGACTAATTGGTATTTCTCACATGAGTGAATCATATTATTCCTTAATCGGTGCAAGGAACTATTTTTTAATGTATTATGGAAGAAAAAAAGCTTAAAGAATTGAAATTTCTACAGATATGCTTCAATTATATTTCAGTTGGCATGATTTTTTTTTTTCCCAAACAGGACAGAAAATCCACTGCCTCTCCTAAAATGAGCTCCAGATACTTTTTTTTTTTTTGGTATCATGGTGACTGAGCAGGGATAAATGAGTGTGGCAGGCAGGTTCTAGTACAGCTTTCCACTGCTCCATCTGCTGGATCAGCCCACATCGCCTGCACCAAGCGGTAACCTCTAAAAAGTAACACGAACTAATTCAGCAGGTGGCTTCAAAAGGCTCACGCACGTTGCTTGAGAAACTTACTGTGACTTTTTAATTTGTGTTTCGCCTAGAGTTCCAATTTCACTGATAATTTCAAAGAAAAGAATAATAATGAAGAAACCACAACCGCCATTAAAACAGAGGCACTGAAGATACGCTTCACCGTAGGGTATCTAATACAAATAAGAAGGAACTAGGTACATCCATTGCAGGTTTGCACACTGCTCCAACCACAGAGGTAGACATTTCTCCTAAGGGTCCTAAGAAGTCGCTCACCTCATTGAGAAATGGAAATATATGCATAAAAGTTTTAAAGAGATTTAAAAAAAAAAAAAAGCATGCCTATCAGTAAGTGCATAAAGACCACAGAAGAGAAGAATGCCTGTTCAAACAGGATTTACCCAAAGACCAGGAAGCCCTCGGCTTCTTTCCTCCGCAGCATCTTTGCAGGCAGCTCCGGTGTCGCGCTTTCGGAGCAGGCAGCCACACTTTTCCTCCAGCTCCCAGTCACAGACGGGACAATGTGCAGCCGCCGCCTTCCGCCAGGCTGCCGTCCCGGCCACCACGGCCGCCACCACGGTCGCCACCGCAGCCGCTACTGCAAAGACAGCGTTAACTCCCCTCTTGGAGTCGAGTGGCTGCAAACTTCCCCTGCTTTACATGTACCTTTTCCTGCAAACTTGAACGTCCTTCCTTGCAGAAGGGCCAAGGAAAACCATTATAAGCATCACAGGGAACAGTAATAAAGGACACTCCCGCAGGTAAGACCTGCGCCTTAATCAGAGCCGCGATGTTCAACCAGATGGGGAAACACCACGGCCAGCGGATCCTCCCCCCGGTCGGAGCCCCTTGGCCAGCGGTGCCCACGCCACCGGGGATGGTTTGGCTGCAGCCGCCANGGGCGGGGGCGCGGGGACGGGCCCGAGGAGGCGGGCGGGCGGGGAAGGCGAGGACCGCGGGCCGCGCGCCGGAGGTGAGGGGACAGAGGCGGAGGCGGCGCGGGGAGGACGGTGCGGCGCGCTTCCGCCTGCCGGGAAGCTAGGGAAACGCGGGTGAAGCCTGCACGGCTACCTCCCGGCCCCGACCGAGCCCTGGCGCGCCCGGACCCTGCGGCCTCCGGCTCCCGGCCGCCCGAAACGCTCAGCCCCCGCCCGCCGATTCCAGCCCTGCCGCCTTTCCAGCTCGCCCCGGGCTTGTCCTAACCCCTCGGGGACGCTCCAACGCGCCACCACCGCTCAGCCAGGGAGGCGCGAGTTGGCTTTTTTTTTTTAAATAGTGGTTTAAATGCTGCGCAATTCGGCTTCCCTCTCCCCACCGTCCTCGCCCCCGATCATCCGGAGAGGTTTTAGTCCACCCCCGGTGCGGCGCCCGCGCCTCGCTGGGCTGGCTTCACCCCGGTAGGAGATGCGAGAGGTGGCCCCAGACCGCAGCCTCCGAGCGCAGTTTGGGGCGCCCTGGTCATGCTCCAAATCCACCCACGAGCTCCGGCGCACGGATGTCTCTGCTGCTACGATTCGCCCCCTAATGAGCTCGCCGGTGTCCATTGACCGCCGGTGCCACGGCCTTTCAGTGACAGTCTACCTGGTTCCCAAAACTGCAGGAGGGATGACCTTAGAGCTGGCCGCCCTCCCCCACCCTGCTCAGCCTCCAGGCCGGGCTGCGAAGAGCCCGGTCCCCATTCAATGAAATTGATCTTCCACTTGCATCTTCCCGAACCTACTTTGGAGCGGCTTCTTCAACGCATACCCCTTGCAGGCTTCCCATTAGGTAAATCTGGTTTGGGTTTTTGTTTTACGGGTTCATGATTTCAGTCTTGGAATGGGGGAAAATAAATAAAAGGAAGTAATTCTCGAATAGAGCCAGATAAATAAACAGTCAGTAAACGAATCACCGTCCCAGAGACTGGAGAGCAGATCTCACCTCTTGCATTTGGAAGCAGGGCTCCTTTCCTCCGTAATTTATCCTCCAAAGTCCTAACAGTTTGGGGCTATATCGTAGTAGGGCTCCAGGTATAGCAACGCTGTGACACGGGAGTCCTTACATTATCTGGTATAATATGCACTTACTGTTTTTTCTGTCCAAAAATAACGTCCAGTTTCTCTGCAGCGTATTCATCAGATAGCCATCCCATAGTGTTTTAGATCTTTTCTCAGAGATTCCCGGGTAAGTGTACAAATACTCCTTAAAGAGCTGATTATTTCACTGATTTTACATTTTCATTGACATCTGGAGTAAGCCCCCCAGAGGTCAGACAAGGAACAGGTGAAATTCTGAAACAGGAGAAAACGAAAAAAATAAAAACTCATCCTTTCAGAATGTTACTATTCTCTGGCACCAGGTTTAATATACACTTGCCATTTTCAAAGAAGGTAAAAGGAAAGCACCAATATCTAGACATCCAGCTCTCCCCCCACTCATGAAGCACCAGCTTATTATGAGAAAAGGGGCCACTCTAGTTGAATTTAAGACCCTCCTACTGTATGAGAGGATCCAGAGATAATCCCCCCAAAGCAGGGAAGTGCCTCCTTGGTCAACAAAATAGTGGATATGAAGGTGTGCCCATTTCTCAGGGCATCTGTACCGGTAAAGAAGTAAGATGGTTGCTCAGAACCCGAAAGGACCACTTGTAACTTAAGACCCAGGTCTTTGGAAGCATGTATGTCTCTACAGAATACCACCCCACACCCCACACCCCATCCCACCATGTGGCCAGGGGAACACCTGTCTGATGTTGATACTTTTATTGTTCTTGTTCAGTTCAATTGTGCCTGACTCTTTGCGTCCCCATGGACTGCAGCACGCCAGGCTTCCCTGTCCCCCACCCCACCCCCCATCTCCTGGAACTTGCTTAAACCTGTATCCATTGAATCCATTGATACTTTTATAGTGCTTTGCATACAACCTTCTCTGGATATATATCCTGTTGGTTTGTTCCTATTGGCTGAAAAACAAATGAGATGGCATTCATATCTAAAATTTTTCTCAGGGAATACAACTGTGCCCTAGTACCGCTTTCTTCAATCTCTCCATATACATTTGCTTCCAGTATGCTTCTGTATTCCAGTGTCCAGAGTGACCAGTGCTCACGGGAGATGCAGCCCACAGTGACGGTCATTGTCAGGATCACTAGGAATACACACGTCTGGTGCTGAGAAAGATGTTGCCTCTAGATGCAGCAAACATCATAAGCTGAGACCTGAGATGGAGAAAAGATGTTTAAACCAGGAACTGATATTAATCATCATAGTAAATCATTGAATATTTGTAAGTGTCTACTATCTTTGAACTTCATCTGTTTCAATGATTGTGTTTATGTTTGTACCCACAGCACAAGGTCTATTTCATAGAATTTGTAAAATATGTGTGGAGGGAGTTAAAATTATAGAAATGTAAAGGAGGTGTGTAGCCTTTTATTTGTTAAGGGTCACTGAATGAGCGGGAAAGTAAATATTAATCATTCCATAGATATTAAAGAATATCTTAATGTTGAGAGTTTATTTTGAGAAATACAAAAAAATCCACCATTTTCTATAAAATATATAACTATTGGATTGATAAAATTTGTCTTTTTGCGTGTTTTTTTTTTTTTTTTTTTTGGCTGCATCATGTGGCATGTGAGATCTTAGTTCCCTGACCAGGGATCAAACCTGTGCGCCCTGCAGTGGAAGGAACGAGTCATTTTTTTTTTCCCATTTATTTTTATTAGTTGGAGGCTAATTACTTTACAACATTGCAGTGGTTTTTGTCATACATTGAAATGAATCAGCCATGGATTTACATGTATTCCCCATCCCGGTCCCCCCTCCCACCTCCCTCTCCACCCGATCCCTCTGGGTCTTCCCAGTGCACCAGGCCCGAGCACTTGTCTCACGCATCCAACCTGGGCTGGTGATCTGTTTCACCATAGATAATATACATGTTTCGATGCTGTTCTCTTGAAACATCCCACCCTCGCCTTCTTCCACAGAGTCCACAAGTCTGTTCTATACATCTGAGTCTCTTTTTCTGTTTTGCATATAGGGTTATCTGAATGGATGAGGAAGCTGTGGTACATATACACCATGGAATATTACTCAGCCATTAAAAAGAATTCATTTGAATCAGTTCTAATGAGATGGATGAAACTGGAGCCCATTATACAGAGCGAAGTAAGCCAGAAAGGTAAAGACCATTACAGTATACTAACACATATATATGGAATTTAGAAGGAACGAGTCTTAACTACTGGAACAACAGGGAATTCACTGGATTGGTTAAATTTGTTTTAAAATCTTCAACTTCTTACAGTGAGCAAGGCAAATAAAAGGAGATTAAAAAGATGTAAAAGAAAAAGGAAGATTAAAGAAAATGAAAATTCTGACCCCAGATAAGGAAGCTGTTTCGAGGCCATAGGTGATATGATAGGTAGATGGTAGGAATCATCAAGAGAGTCAGAGATATTAGTGTCCTTTCACTTGTGGCCCAAAATAGCAACAGTCCTCAGAAAACTCCTTAAATCTCTGCTTAAGATCCTGAATTTATGGAAATTTGCTTAGACACCACTTTTTTGCTTGTGTAATAAAACTATACTATACTAGAGAATGAAATCAGATCAATAATCTTCATTTCCCCAATCAATAAATTGACTCACTTTTTCATAAAAGATAAACTGAGTCATAGTTTTATTTGGTAACAAATGTTAGTAATTTTTTTAAATCTGTGAATGTTCATGAGCAAGTCACACATACTCCCCTTTTCCAAAATCCCTCTTTAGTAATTCATTCCTAGTATTTAGTGTGTTAAGTCTCTTGCTTTTCAGATTCTCCAACATTTATAAATATTGTTACAGTAAAACAAAAAACAACAACAAAAAAGAGTCCCTACTCTATATATACACATTTTGACACAAATATGCACATTATAAAGCAAAGATTCTCAATCCACCTCTTCAGTCTTAAGTTTCTTATGCTCATCTCACCTGTCAAAGTTGAGAAGGCAGCTTCCTCTTCCCCATACAAGGCAGCATCACTAGGCATCACTAGGTTCCTCAACCTCTGATTCAAGTTTCACTGAAATCCTGGAATGAGGAACTCAGGGATCCAGAGCATCAACGGTAGTGGGCCATTTTATATAAAGGACTTGAACTTCTACAGATTTTTATATCCTCGGGGTTGCTGGGGCTAATCCCCTGCAAATATCTAGGGACAACAGTACCCTTCACCAACCACCACTAAACTCAACCTGTTTTTCCCTACTCCTGGTGTCTTTAGTCTCCACATTTAGAGTGTTCAGGAAAAGATCAGGGAACCTTTGGACAAGTTCTTCAGTTATATCTTAAGTGTGGATAAAGAAGGGCAGTAAATTAACTGTTAGTGAATTTAAGGTTATATTAGTAGAAATTCCAACTGATTAAAAAGTTCATTCCCCAGACAGGCCAGTGCCATTTCTGGAAACTGTGGCAATTGTGACTGTACCTAATCCTGTAGATGCTGGTGCTTGAATATGGTCATTCTGAGAGTCCCTGTGTCTAGAAACTCAGAGCTCATCTTCACTAATCTCTTGGTTTCTTCCTGTCTCACAAACTGGCCTCCTCTGATTCTTCCTGTGGATTTTGCCTTCCTTCTCAGGACCCTTGCAAACACTATTCCCTCTGCTTAGATCACCTGCATTTTCTCACCCACCATCCTCAACTCATCCTCTTGCTCATCTCCGTGCTCCGGGAAATGTCACACGCTAAGGATGACATAGGCATGCTAAACACTTCCCGGGTTGGTTACTTCCTAAAATTTGCTATCATGGCTCCCAGACCTTTCCTGTATTGTATACAGGACAACTTAAAAGTTCATACAACTGAAACATTTACTGAATATTTTTCCCAGCTCTGGACTAGAAATTCCATGAGAGGAATTTTCATTGTATGTTAATCTCTTAGTGCAGGGCTTGTTGTAAAGTAGTTGCCAAAAACACATTCTTCTTAAATTAATGTATGAAAGAAAAATCAATATAATCCAGGATGGCCAATGTCTGGCTGGACAGTGGGATGCTGGATACTTGGGACATGGTGTGCTGCACTGTGCTTATTCACTCAGTTGTGTCTGACCCCATAGCCCACCAGGCTCCTCTGTCCATGGGATTCTCCAGGCATGAATACGGGAGTGGGTTGCCATGCCCTCCTCTAGGGGGTCTTCCCAACCCGGGGATCAAACCCAGGTCTCCTGCACTGCAAGTGAATTCTTTACCATCTGAGCCACCAGGCAAGCCATGACAGGGTAAAGAAAAAACTACCTCATTTTATCCAAGTAGATTCTAGTTCCATCATTATTATGGAACCCTGGTATTTTTCAAAATCCTAGAATATTTTCAAAAATAGGATACTTTTTCTCATTGAAGCTTTATGGTGAAGAAAGTCCTTTTAAAAAAAAATTGTATGACCAAAAGGAGTGGAAATTTACCAAGAAAGAAGAAGAAATTACAGCATTTTGATATTCTAAGTAAACAAATTTTTATTCTTGGCCAATTTTGTGAGAAGTTCTGTTTATGCTTTGAATATTTCCTTATTAATAAGAAGTTCAACTCTGTCTTGAATTAATTATAGTATGTTTAGTACAAAGTCGGGAAGGTCTTCAGCAAAATTTATATTACTACTAGTAGAGTATATAAGTAAGGAAGAAAAGAAGAAATAATTAATGTCAAATTATTCCCAACTATGACATTCACAGAAAATCAGATTTTAAAATGCAGATGTCAAAGACAATTGGAAATTTAGAGCCAAATTTTCTCTTCTTACTGAGACTATATTTTCATAGACCATTTACATACCTCTGAAGCTTGATCTTTTGCAACTTAACCTCATTCTGAATGCCCATACTTCTACTGACCTTTCTCACAATTTGATCTTAAAAGGTACTTTTCATAGTCTTTCACTTTAATGGAAACTTCTGATATCAGAAGACCCATATTAATTTTTACCTTTTTTGGTAACTGCTGAATAATATTTATCTCACATTAAAATATTTAACATAATTTTCTAGATTTCATTTACATTAAACAGCAATGAAAACTTGAAGTTTTAAGCATTTATATTTTTTATTTTATAATTCAAGGAGCTTATGGTTTTTCTTTTTGTTTCCCACTGGAGATACCTAAAAAGTTCTCCACACTTAAATGCAATCTACAAATGATAAATTCATAAGTGTTTAATATAAAAGGAAGGACCTATATAATTTGAAAAGATTTTTAATTTAAATTTATTCTTTTTGATAGGGAGTCCCACACATGCATTTGAAAGATTATATTTATCAAAGTATTAATCATTGTATTAAATATGGCTATACATATAGTCATGTATATATATATATATATGTATATATATNAGGCAAGAATACTGGAGTGGGTTGCATGCCCTTCTGCAGGGGATCTTCCTGACCCAGAGAGTGAACCTGGGTCTCCCACATTGCAGGCAGATATTTTGCCACCTGAGCCACCAGGGAAGTCACTCTGTGGTACATGGTTGCTGACAAATTTCACGTGCTCCTAAACATGCAACTGGATCTCCTCTCTTGATCATTAGCGTGAAGAAAGCAATTCTGGACTAACTCTACTTAGAGCCAGTGAAGCTCAGTTCTCAGGTGCACCTTTTCATGGGGCAGAAGCAGGGAATACCAATGATTGAGTTCAGTAATATTTAAATGCTATATTTTAAAATTGAATAAGTATATGTAACATAAAACTTATCATTGAGATGATCTTATAGTGTACCACTCAGCAGCATTAATGATATTCTTTTTGTTGCACAACCATTACCACCATCCATCTCCAGAACTCTTTCATTCTCCAGAACTGAAACTCTGTCCCCAGTGATTGTCCCCAGACAATCACTCCCCGGCACCCTCTCTCTTCAGCCCTCAGCAATTCCATTCCACTCTGTCTCCTGAGTCTGAGTACTCTGGGAACTCCTATTGGCGGGAATATATTGTCCTAATGCGACTGGCTTGTTTCTCTTAATATAATGTTCTCACTGTTCATCCATGTTGTGGCATGTGTTAGAGTTTCCTTCCTTTTATAGGCTGAATAATACTCCATTTTACCTATATGCCTCATTTCATTTATCCATTCATCTTTTAATGATTTGCCTCTACCTTTTGACTATTATGAATAACGCTGTTATGCATAGTGGTGGTTTAGTCACTTAAGTCGTGTCTGACTGTTCTGCGACTC